GTTGCAAATAAATGAAGGCAGTTAAACTGTGGAAGAAACGTTTAAAGCTCACAATCCAAAGCTTAGTGTGGTAGTCACTTACCCATCGGTCTGTGCACATGGGTGGCCAAGAGTTTCGTATCTAAATCCAATGGTAACAGCAGAACACCAAGCCACGATCATTCCCATGATGCAGTGGACCAGGGAGTTGACAAGCTGTCGAGGGTGGAGAAGCTGACCAAAGAGTGCGATTTTCGAGCATGCAATAGTTGGAATGACTGAAAGAAAAAATAGTAACAACAAAGAAGTTACATAACAGACAATTTTTTAGTGGAGTACCCATTATATTATGTTATCATTTAAAACCTGAGTAAAGCTTATTAAAGTAATAGCTGGCCCCATGGATGTGTTAAACCGGTACTAAACGATCAGGTATTTTAGTTGTCCTGAAAAGAAAGTAAAACTTAACTCATTTTACTTTCATTTTGTTTTATTATATAATTTAAAGAAAAACATAACACTCATCTTTTTATCCAAGGGAGAAGGAATGTGTGTTTTTCATGTTGTGGTGTCATTCAACAAACTATTCCCTATTTAACAGACAACATTAGTCCACAATCAAATTATTTAATTCTGTTAAACTAATGATAGCATTTTATTTATTATAAGCTCTACCATAACACTGAACTGGTGACATTAATTCCAGCTTCACTAATGAAAATTTACATATGATCTATCCACGTAACATGTTAGTAGTTAAGAAAATCTTTAGGGAAGTTTTTCAGCGCTCTGTGACTCACCTGTGTAATACTCAAAGTTCAAGAAACCAACCATGATGATCACTCCACACAGCAGGATGAAAGAGAAGATGGCAGTTGCACTTGTTAGCATGGAGAAGCATTCTGGAATTTAAAAAAGAAAAAGTGTAAGGTAAGCTTCATACACAGCTCTGAGTAATCTTAAAATGCAGTGTGGCGACTCACCTGATATGGTCTGGATGGGGTGGAGAACACTGAACTTGCTGAGGAACACAAAAATTGCTGTGCTGGGTGGCAACAACAGTACAGCCCAAGCAATACTGGCTGCAGCTCTCCAACAAATTACCTGAACAGAGCAGTCATTATTACATTATAGACATTATATAGTCCATCCTTGTCCATAGTATTATTACGTCTCATATTGATTACTGCAATTCCCTCTTATTTGGTCTCCCTAAAAGGTCCCTTCATCAACTCCAACTTCTTCAAAATTCTGCAGCTCGGGTCATAACTCGTACTCCGTCAAGAGCTCATATTACCCCAGTTCTTCAGCAGCTTCACTGGTTGGCCATAGAAGCCAGGATAAACTTTAAAATCTTACTTCTCACATACAAGTGTATCCATAAATCTGCTCCTTCCTATTTGTGTGACCCGCTTTACATCACCACTTTCCCGCCCTCTCAGATCCTCATCTGCTATTCATCTTACTGTTCCGTCTTATGGGGAACAGAGCCTTCAGTGGCTTTGTTCCTTGGCTCTGGGACTCTCTTCCTCCAACCATAAGAAATATAGACTCTCTTCCTGCATTTAAGTCACAGCTCAAAACACATCTGTTCAAACTGGCTTATTCACTTTAGTGCTGATTTTATCTGTTGTCAAGTTCTGTTTTGTAATTTTAACTTATTTTATGTATTTTTATGACTATTGCTCCTTTTATTAATTTTTCTCTTTTGTAAGGTGACCTTGGGTTTCTGAAAGGCGGCCTCATATAAAATGTATTATTACTATTATTATTATTGATCACCAAGTATTGGGAAAGAATAACCACTTGATTCAACGTTATAAAAAAAGAAATTTGAATCCATGTGAAAAGGTCTTTTTTTTTTTTTTGTCTTGCTTAAATTTCACATTCATGTACAGAACGTGTTCTGTGCTAAGCAGGTTGTAAAGGAAATCTCCAGAGAGCATGTAATTTAAAACAATATCTTCTGGGGTGTAAAATTCTGAAACCAAGATGCAAACATTCCCAATATTGCATTGCAATTCAGTTTTCTCAAAGAGTAATACCCATGTGGAACTGTTAAGGCCTTGTTAAAGGTGTTATGTTCAAAATTTAGTTTTTGTCTTGCTAATAATGCAATGAAGTGGCTTCTGTTGAATATAGGTAGCTGGTTTGTTTTTGTTTGTTTGTTTTTCCCTTTAGGCTTGTTTTATAGGAAAAGGTAGGTATGAACTTAAAAGTGGTTTTGAATGACTGTTACGTTAGTGGTAAAAGTGATTGCTGGTAACTTCCAAAAAAGGGTTACTCATATTTAATAATGGATTGCATTTATATAGCGCTTTTCAATCAGAATCAGAATACTTTATTGATCCCTAGGGGAAATTATTTTTCGTTACAGTGCTCCATTATAAACAAGGCACCCAAAGCGCTTTAAACTGTAGTAGATGACTTATTGTCCAATAATCTGTCAGACATATCTTGCATGAAAGACATCAAATCAGTTTGAATAGGAAACAATATTCCTACCACAAGATAGAAGCTGCAGTCATTTTTTTAGGCAAAGTCACTTTATATATTCTTTATTTTCCCCAGCTAAAAAGGCATATCTGGCCAATAGGGGGCGGATAAATGCAACAAACGTAACATAACAGCTCTATAAATATATTTAGGTGGCAAAAAAAACTGGATTGATTATAATCTAGAACACATTGTAGGTACAATAAGTCAGAGTCATTAGGATACATGAAAAACAGGTAATTTCTCTATCATATATATATATATATATATGTATATAACGACTTCATAAATCCTATTGAGTACAGCCTATTTGCCAAAAAACCCATCAGACATTACAATAAATAAATAAATTTAAAAGAAAAAAGAAAGCGAAACATCATTAGTCAATTTTTGGCACGACATCTTCACTTCATTCAGTGTAACATAAATTGAAAATAAGTGAAAACATTTCAATTCAACATCAACAATTCTTTTTCTGTCATTGTTTGGTAGAAACTACGGAGGCCTATATACTTTCAGTGTGAGCCCCCAGATGCCTATCGTTAATGTTTACAACATGCGTGAATCAAATATTTTCATATTTCAGTCAAATAATACAAATAATCACTAAGTTAATCTTCCTTAGTGTTTTTGCTACCAGAAAACACGCAATACTCAAGTTGCTATTTAACTGTCGGGTTTAACGTGTGAAATTTACATATCTGTATAGTTGTTACTAACTTCATATTTGTAAAGACACCTTTTCCCCTTTTACTTTGCTGGCGTTTCTTTATTTTATTTGAATAGCCTCCATTCGCACCTCGGTTTCTCAACTTTCTGTAAACACTTTTAAAGTTAATTTTAAATAAATAAAATCTGAAGATGTTCATTAGCTGCATTCAAAGAAGCTAGCATAAACAGACCTAAGTTTAGCAAGCTAGGAGACACGAAAAATCACTTTCTAAATAGCCATTTGGTGTCAGAAGAAAAACACTCACCTTGCGGATAAACCAGCAACTCTGCTCTGCAGAAAACATGTTGTTTAGATAAATGTATGCCTCTCTTTGAGAAGAAAACGACAATCAAAACTATTTACGCCTCAGTTTCCCATATCGCGCCACATGCATTCAAAGGACCTCTGAAGGACCCCGATTAAAAGCTGTCCATCTTCCTGCCTGCTGCCAGCGTTTCATATTCATTCAGTATATGGATTTAACGCTGGGTCTTGAACTAAAGATTGTACATATAAATTCTCACTGACTGGCACACGTACACTACGTTAAATTTCATCATTACATGAAGCTCAGCTTACAAATGTTTTCCTGAAAGGTCGACTTTCACCGATCCTAAAAATCAGGTTACGTTTAAATTATGCAAATGCTATTAAAACAACATTGTCACAAGATGGAATTACACAAGAACATAAATCAGCTTTAAAATTGTGTCTCATTTTACTCTCAGTCATTATGTATCATTAGTCCAGTAATTAGTTGCCATCTCAAGTGCAGAGAGTCAGTAGCTGTCAGTGAAGTCAGTTCTGTATTCCTTTAGCTTCATCATGCACGAAAGCTTTCTTTCCGTGACTATAGCCGTTTCCGTAAGATGGGAAACTGTGTTTATCCAAAACAGTATTTTTGTCACTGTCCCGTGAAAATGGCTTTATCTCAAAAGCATTGGCTGGAAGCTTTTGGGTGGAACTGATGGACATGTCGGTTTGAACTGCTTTATGGGCGGGTGGCTTCAGTCCAGGTTTCTGTATTATTGCAGGGAGGGCAAGCTGTTCCCTATGGGACTTCTTGTCTTCCCACAACTTAAGCAGACGACGCTGGTTATTTGTCATATCCTTGAGATTTTGCTGTAATGACTGTACTTGATCGTCTAAAAGTGTTTTAGAGGTGACTGTGTTTGCCAACTCTGAGGTCAAGCCATCAATGGTCAGACTCAGTTTTCCAGCCTTTTCCACCAGGGAGTTGCACTCACGTTCTTTTTCATGCAAGTCATTGATTATGTCCTTGGTGGTCTTTCCATTGAACTTAGGGCTGCACTCAAGTCCAATTTCAGTACGAAGAGCCTTCACCTGTTTCCTCAGCTCCCTGTTGTCCAGAGCCAGAGTCTTCAGTTTCTGTTTCATAGCCTCTGTTGAACGCATCCTTGACTCATACTGCCTGAGCTTCTCTCTGAGAACGCTTTCTTTGTGCATGGCATCGTCCCTTTCTTTCCTGCATTTCTCCAAAAGTTTCAGCGTCTCAAATTTGGAAAATTTTTCACCTTTTCCATTTGAAGTGGCCATCCTATGGAAAGGTCTTCAAGTCACAATATATATGTCTATAGCTATAAAAATGACTAAAAGGCATTCCCCAAAAATGAGAACAAATAGCAAATCAAGTCCTCCTGTGTTGTGCTGATAAATCTACAAGTATGTGCAGCTGTCTAGACTTCTGAGACTGAGGCAGGTGACATTCCTCCAACAGGGTTACCTGTTTGACAGGCAGCTCCTGTGTAACTCAAAGCTGGGGCTAGAATGACCATTAATTAGGACGCCACCATCCCTTTGACAAAGGTTCAAGTGACACTTTTTTTCTGTTTTGTTAATTAATCAAATAAAAAAAAGTAGCTCTACTTAATTAGTGGAAATATTAAGCATAGTCTTTACGTAGGTTCACTGAATGTAAAGTGCTGACCACACACCGTGTGCCTGCATGTGGTCAGCTTTGGATATATACTGTGAGATTTTCCACTGCGGGTGATCTGCGAATCCAAACAGTGATACGATAGATTCTATCGGTTTGCTCGACCACGTGACAGTTTAGATGGATGAGCTGGAAAACGGTAGCAGCAGCTCACTTTTAAAGCTAATCTCTTTGAAATGTTCATCTTATACCTATTAGTTACAATCTCTTCTTTAAATATTTAAAATGTCCAATTGTTGACATGTATAGGCAAACAAAGTAGTTAGAAACCCAAAGAAATGAGTCACGTTGCACATGGATGTGAAAGCCGGGGTGACTCAAGGCTACCTAAAATGAAGAATCACATGAAGTATTTTAAGCATTCATCCAATGCAACCACCCAGAGTTCAGAGTATGACTGTTAGATAGAAAGCACTTAGAAATACAAAAAAGTGCTTGTATAAATGTGTGAATGGGTGAATTAGACATGTTGCATAAAGTGCTTTGAGTGCTCAAGTTGAGTAGAAACGCACTATATAAGATTTAGTATTTAATTAATATTAACTTTTGACCTATGACACCTGGGATGGATATCAATTTTCTGCAGGCATGACAAGAAACAATTAGGCAACTACTTATTTTATATAATATAAGGAAACCTGTCTCAGTTTGTGTTAAAGATCTGCAATGAACTAGAAATATAAAACAATGACATTCAAATACAGCATTTCCCACAATAACCATGTTTTATTTTTCTCCATGAATCAATAAATTCTGCACTTCCGATCAAAAACATTACCAAATTAATTCTAGAAACACTTACATGACCATTTAAAAGTTTAGCACAGGTCTTTGGCAAGAGTTGGGTGGACTTGTAGAAACTTAAGAGTAATGTACAACAGCTCCAAGTGTAATAACGCTAGTCCTTGGTTAACACACCATATGTATAATTGTTTACACAGAAAATTCTGTTTACAAATGATTCATTTCCCATTATAGGAATATAAAAATGCATGCCATCGATGCTGTCACCAGTTATGAAATGTGTTGTTATAGAAATATTTAAAAATGTAACTTAAGTATAAAGGTCATACTAAAATATACCTTTTTTGTCATTTTAAACCATACTCCATTTATATGCATAAAGTTTAGAATCCAGCACCCGTAAAAAGAAAAAAAAAACCCCACACGCTTGCTATTATTGTGCATTTTCAGATGTCACACAGCTGATCCAGACACGCACTCAGGATACAGGGGTTAAGGTGTTAAGACCGGATGTACGAGTTCAGGTGAAATTCAGACGTTGCATGACTTCATCAGCACAGCAACTTGATTCTCCCTAATAAGGCAACACGAGAGCCTGCAAATTCAAAGGAAAAAAAAAAAAGAAAAAGACAAAAAAGAGGATAACACTTGCTTTGGCACGGCAAAATCATGTACAGGAAGTCCTGTGTCAGATTTAGTAGGTCAAAATGACACACATGTGAGCCAAAGCTCCAAAAAAGGGTCAATAATGTATTAAAGTCCTCCTTTGTGACACTACTGAGTGTAAATATGCAAACAACAAATGAAATAAACACAATGTAGATACAGATAATAAATACATATCAGATTTTCAGTGTATATGCAAAAGCTTAAAAAGCTTAGGTGTCACTGTTGGTACCTCGAGACAATGCAAGTCTTTCATGTCGTCGAATTTGTTGGCTTTACCGTCTTGTTCCCTGGAATAGTAAAAAAGTAGGTCTGCAAAAGAAAACCCAAATGAGTAAAGTGTCAAAGAACTTGTGCAAAGGAGTACTGGCAGGGCAAAGACATGTTATGAGAAACTGGTAAGCACGAAATCCAAACTGTGAATAAGTGTGAAGCAAATGTTCAGGGGTAGAGAAAAGAATACAGGATTTCTGGAAGCCATTCATCTTGTTAAGCGTTCAGACATGGCTTAGTTTGTAGCCTAATTACTTCAGTGGGGTGGGACATATGATATCCCTGAGGACCGGACAGTATTCATGATAGGAATTTTACTAGCAGCCCTTTCTCACACCATGTAGTAATGTAGTCATAGTTTCCGCTGAATCGCATCTCCCCAGAGGGATTCAACTTGACACTATAAAGTATATTTGTTTCCCAAAAACCCACAGAGGAGTCAAATGCCAAAATATCAGTGTAAGTGATCGGATCTGCGAATGGCGAATGGAGAGGTGGGTTCAAAACTAGGCCATGCTGACATCACAGAGGATAAATTAGAAAGAGTCAATCATTGTTATCTAAATCCAGATGGATAAGCGTTATGAAATAGATGGATTAGCACAAATACTATTTTGTCATTAAATATCAAAAGTAGCCACATTTACCTTACAACCAACAGCCAGCAGGATGTTGAGCAACACAATCACTGACAGGAATGCTATCATAACTCTGGGGTGGTCATCTCTGACTGCAGGCCAGAAAGTCAAAACCAGTACTGAGCCAGAGAGGCAGAGTGCCACCACAATGGTGCACCAACTCAGCCAATTAAATGGGAGAATCCACAGAACCTTGATTAAGAAAATAAAGTTAAAAAAACTAGAAACAAACAAATCATGTAATTAAATATGCATCTGCTTTTAGGGAGGTTATATAAATGCCTAAAATTTAGTATAGTGCTTCATTTGTTACTACTACTTTAAAATGAATAAACAAAACACAAGACAAAACAAAATTTCTTACCACTGCAGGTATATATATTGAAAGAGAATAGCCGTATACACAGACAATCTCCATAAAGGCATATGACACCAAGTTCCCCATTTTATTGTTTCTCCATAGCAGAAAACCCCAGACGGCAAGAGGCACTAACCAAGCATAGCTGAAGATTATTGTTGCAGCAATGGTTACTGGAAAACATAAAGAATCAAAACTCAGTGTGAAATGGCTGTTTCCCTTCCATATTTAATGTAAACGTGTATGAGAGTAGGGCTGTTCGATATAACAATATATATCGGATGACGATATAAAAAACGTCTATCGTTTCATTTTACGCTATCGTTTGTTTTGTGGTGTCGCAAAATAAACTGTTTACGGCAATATTTTTTCATTGTTTTGATGGTCACTGTAGGGGCTATATTAATTTCTTAATTTCTCTCTCATATTTAATATAACCACACTACTGACAGGCCTGTTTTTATGCGTTGTCGTTAGCAACAACGATGATAAAACCATCGCTTGTCCGCTCTTTTATTTTCCACATACACCTTTCACAATAAAGCTCAAGATCCTGTTGAGACTTTTCAAAATAAACTGAATCACGTGGAGTCAGGAGCTAAAAAAATAAACCATAGACTCAAATGTTAGAACACGTCGTGTAATAAATACTCACAAATAAAACGGTGGCCGTTACAACTTATGTCTAAAAATGTATCGTTTCATGCATTAGTTAAAACACTCGACTCCGGGTAAAGGATGCCCAGCTGGAAACACTTCACGCAAGTCGAGCTCCCCAAGATTCACAGAATTTTCAGAAAATGTAAAAATTTTGTGATTTATATTGGGACGATAAATGTCTTATATTGGGATATGAGATTTTGGTCATATTGCAAAGAGAGTGAAGAGGAGCAAACCTTTTCGAAACTCTGGGGTATATTTGTAGTCCTGATCGCCTTGGTGGGCCAAAAAGTTGGATATGTTTCCACTTATGGCGGTGGCAAACACAAGAGTGGTACAAATCCAGAATGGTCCTGAAAGCAGTTGTTACACACATGTAAGTTGTTTCCTTATTGGGGGTTTCCATGAAAATGGCATTTACCAATAGAATACAACATCAAAGAACAATACACCTAGTGTCATACAAAAAAAATCTGATTGAGACATATCTGTTAAAATTATGAAGAGCTAACCATAGAGATCAGGATTTCTACGGAGGTAGACATTAATAAAGTTCTTTCTGGGCCATGGCATCATTGATCCAATTATCCTTTCCTTTACCTGAAAGAAATATTAGAAACCACTAAATATGGAATCTGATGAGATCTAGCAAAAATGGTGCCAAAAAGTCAGTGGATACATTAGAAAAAAACTTACATGATGGGTCTCGATGTCAAAGAACCTTTGGTAGTACTCAAAAGACCAAAAAGAGGGACTTTTCTTTTGCCCCGAGAGAAGCTTAAATTCAAGGAGTAGGTGAAAAATTAAATTAAATCTTAAAAGTTAATAAAATATATTAAATTCAAAGGCTTGTCCTAACCTCTGCCTGGTCATCATTGGCAAGTGGATCCTCAGTATCAGCTTCAGTAGAGAAACCAGTCGCAGTGCTTTGCTTCTTAGGCTTCACATCTTCATCATCGATGCTGATGGTAGTTGCATCTCTGTTGGCTTCCAACAGATCGCCAGCTTCGTCAAATTCTAGTTAGTTGACATGGATTAATGCAAAATGTCAACGATCGCTTCTTGTGAGTTTAAAGTTTTCACAAAAATAAACAACTACATTTCCATAACACAGTGGAGAATTGACACTCACCCTGAAATTGAAACGGATCATTTTTCGACGCCATTTATAAAGATTCGTAGAGTGAAGTCCGTCTCAAACGCACTGAAAATTAATTGTCACACAAGGGCAACAACTTAACCTCAGCAAGCTATGGAGACTGATTAAGACTTCGCACACTGTAACCAATAAAGGGAACAGACGCTATGAGTTAGCTGAGTTAGCTACCAAGTTCTCACTTAGCAGATCATCAACTTTGACATTAACTATGTAAAATCTGATTAAGACAGAAAAACAACCATTAAAAGTATCAGTCTTTTTAAAATATGTTTAGCTATCATCTTTGGAAAATCAATTACCAAATTATCCTTCCAAATCCATAAAAATCACTTAACTTCTGTCGTATACGTTGGCACTTCCGGGAGCGGGCTAGATCAAGGATGTAAACAGGACTTCTTCCTAAACATTTTCAAAATAAGGGTTTGGATTTTTTTTTTTAAATTTAAACTACTACTTGGTGAGATCCTGAGAGGTTCATTATAAAGTATGTACACGTTTTCTCATATTACATTCTTGTTACTTATAATACGCAATTTGGTAAGAAGTTCCTAAAAAACAAGCATTCGTTATTGACCATCTTTTACTTTGAAGTGAGCAGGCACAGCTGCCAGTAACTTGCTTGCACTGTAGGAACCGCGGCTACCGTAGGAAACCCGGAATATTTGTCATAATACATACAAGTAGTAAAGCAAATGCCGTAAAATGTGAAATATTTGGAGCAAAAAAGTAGTAAAAGAGTTTAACTGCAGGGTTTGGGTGTCCTTTTATATTAATTTTAGCCAAGGACATGATACTATTTAATAGCTAGCTTGTGAGCTACTTCGAGTTTTTGCTGACTTAACGTGCAGCCCTTAATAGTGCGACCTTACTATGGACAATAGCACCATTTATGTCCGAGAAAGAGGCAGTCTTCGTCGTGTCAGTGACATAGTCCTGGCACAGCCAAAGCCAGCGTTATCGTGCAGAAGGACAAATCCGTTTGTGCCCAGAAAAGAGCATTTTATATTCACCTACAATGAAGAGGGAAGTCTGCGATATACTACAAAATCTCTCTTTGACATCACTTTGTTGTTTGTAGTTGACAATATTCATCATGTAGACTCTCTGATTGGCTTCCCTGAGCAAATAGGTGATAAACTTTTTGTAGCAGCTGAGGAAAATCGTGTATTCTTAAACCCAGAAATTTCTTCAAAAGCCCTGCAGTTATTCAGTGATGCATATGGAGGCATGGTACTTGAATCACTGTGTTTACGAAACAGGTGAGTCGGGCTGTCACCAAAAGACTGCGAGGTTCCTTTTCTTCTTTACCACAGACAGCTAGCATTTGTTGTTCCTCTTTTATTTCTGCAGGTTTCCACTTCTGCACGAGCGAATGGATGAAATAAAAACATTTCATAATTTGAAGTCTCTGGATTTGTTTGGCTGCAAACTGGGTGACAATCATGAGCTTTTTCAACATCTAACATCCACCTCACTGGCAAGGTATTGCATTCCTAAAGAAATTACATGAAAGATTTAATAAAAGCTGTTGCTAACATTTTTTTCCCCACTTTAGGAGCCTGATTCAACTTTTCATCGGTAGTAACAGCCTGTCAGATGCTGGCCTCCAACGACTGACCGCACCTATCCGTATGATGCACAAGGGACTGGACTGTCTTCAGCTTCTGGATATTTCCTGTTGGTTACCAAACTATTAGTTGATTTCATGGTGATGGCACAAATACCATCCCCTCCAGATTTGAAGTATTCAAAACTCACATCATTATAAAATTGTTGATCAGCTATATTCTGTCTTTTCCAGACAACAATATCTCAGAGAGGGCTCTTGGATACCTCACATGTCTCCCAAAACTTGCAAATCTTGATGTATCTGGAACCAGTTTGAAGGTATAACATCAACAGTTGTGTGTAACACTTATCTGTGGCTCATTGTTATACTGACATCTAAATGTAATATATACCTCTAGCTTGGCACAGGATTGAAGACAACAATGTCAAACCTGTTAGGACTAATTTATTCTGAGAAACCACTGGATACCTTTGATCACTCAAGATGCAAGACAGAAGGTTGGGCTGAGCAGGTAAGTATGTTTAAATGCAGATTTGACATTGATAGAAGTAGTGGTCAGATGTTTACATAGACTCATTATGGGTATGATAATGGTAAACTATTTCCCCCCAAGGTGGAATCACTGTATTGTACACATCTTTAATAACTTTAAAAAAACATGTACATGTTTGAATTTATTCTGGAATTTCTGTATTCCACTCATACATACAGCCTCACCAACATTTGGTTAAATGTCCCTTAGCAAGTTGCACCTCAACCAAAACCAATTTTGATCTGTGTTTGGGAACATTGTCCTGTTGGAACACATGATTGTT